TTTTCCAAAATATCTACAGTAATTTTGTGTTTCACACAAGAAATTAAGCCATACAGGTTTGGAACCACATGAGGTTTAGCAAATGATGACCGAGTTTTTTTTTTTTGTTTGTTTTTTTGATCACTTTAAGAACAGATGCTTCAGTTGGAACATTCAGCCGAGACCAATGCATAAACTTCCAAGTCAAACAAACAAGTCCATGCAGGGCTATAACCACCATAACTGTTGAGGAGCACAATATTCTGCTTCACACATAAGAGTTTTTCAGTGACTGATCCTGAAACATTCCTGTATGAACAAATACAATGGTGTGACTTTTTTGATACCTGACATGATTGTGCAAGGTGTGATATCTTCTTCTAACATTCAGTATGTGAAGTGGCGAACATCAGGTGGAGTCGTCTGCTATTTCTGTATGTACGCAGTGTGTGAACATGAGGAGGTGGAGCAGGGAGGGGTTTGAAAGTCCAGCAGGGATGGGGACAGGGCCACAGGTGAGATCTCAATAAATTACACTCTGAAGTGGTCATTAATTATAGATGACATCCCAGTCAGACCAGCGATTTCATTTGAAATGAGGAGCAGTGTGCATAGCGGTGGTGCCCAGGGCTCTGGTGGGATGGCTGATGTATATATGTGTGTGTGTGAAAGAGAGAGAGAGAGAGAGAGACAGAGAGCAGTGGGTCAAATAGTCTTAGCTCTTGCAATAGCTTTTTGATGAGGACCCTCATTACACTAAACGGTCCTCTATGGTTCAGCCTCCCTCTGACTCGAGGAAAGGTTAAACAGAGAATAATTAAAGAAGACTGCCTCAGGCTGAGCGTGTCACCCTTAAGGCGACACTCTGGTCAGCGGTAGGCTGTTTCAAAGACGGCTCAATACAGCTCAAGTGCTCTTACCTAGTCAGTATCATATGGCTAAAATAAATGACACATTAATGACACTTTAATTCATTTCACACTTGGTGTGGATGTGGAAATGTGGAAACTAAAAAACAAAAGTTCGGTCAGATTTTTAAATGTTTTTGAAAGTCTCACATGCTCGCCAAGGTTGCCTCTATTTAAAAAAAATACAAGAAAATTTGCAATATTGTAAAATATTACTACAATTTAAAATAACTTTTCTATTATTAGTTTTATTTGAAATAGTTCTCTATTTGAATATATTTTAAAATGTAATTTATTCCTGAGCTAAAAGAAACATTTCAACATTTCTTATTATCAATGTTGAAAACAAGTATTTTTGTGAAAACCGTGATACTTTCTTTTTTTTCAAGATTCTTGGATAAATAGAAAGTTCGAATGAACAGCATTTATCGGAAATCTAAAACATATATATAAAACATTTTGTAACATTATAAATGTCTTGACTGTCACTTTTGATCAATTTGATGCATCCTTGCTGAATAAAAAATATTAATTAAAAATAATTAAAAAAATCATGACCCCAACATTTTTAACAGTACATTTTTTTATACTGATTAAACAAATGTAAATAAATAAATAAAAAAACTGAAAGTAAAAAAACATATATATGAACAGCTGTTGTATGGAAATCCCCTTTTTGTATCCATGGAAAAAAAATATTTGGGGGTTTAAATATTCATTTAAAAATTTTTATGTGGAAAGGTTGAATATATATTCATAGCCACACATCCAATCATGATCATCTGCCATTTGACTATTTCCACCTTGATATCATATAGCTCTTATTGTTATTATTGTAAAACCTGAATAAGTTAATATGAGATCTGCATCAAACATTGTAAGAGGCTTTCAAATGACATTAACTTATTTTTTAGATGGCAGTGATGGCTAATTCCAACACAGTTTATTACGGTATTTTGGTGTAAAACGCAGCTAAATGGTATTTTTTGTAGGCAACAACCGCAAGATCACAAGTCTAAAAAGACACCACTGAAGTTCACCAAACGAAGACAACTGAGACACGTTCTTTTCTCATTTTTCGCATCATCTTGAAGACAGAGATTATCTTGGAACCGCATGAGTGATCAGTGACGAGAGAGAAAGTGTACTTTCACGAGTCCACGTGACACTGCCACACTGATTGTCTGCTTTTAATCCTCGACCTCATTATCACCCTCTGGTCTTACTCCAGCAGTAAATTAATCTATCTGCAAAGTGTCAAATCTTCTCACCTTCCTCCTGGTAATCACCCGAGGTGCAAATAAAAACAGCCGGGTTCGCTCAAGACCCTGCGTCCGTTACCAACAAGATGATGCCGTGTTATAATTAAAAACCAATTGGCCATTGCTGGGTTGCTCATTAAGCCGATCAAATATTTGTGTCTTCACTAAGGTCAACGCAATGACATACAATAACAGGGAGTGAGAACTGGAAAAAAGTTGCACAGAGTAAACAGCCCAAAAAGTCATTAAAAATACGTTAATTTTAATGCTACATCATTTTAAGAAGGAAAGGACTGTTTAAAGTAACAAATAAAGCAAGTAAAAAAAAAGTTAAACTGTAAAACTGTCAACCTTAAAACTGTCTACACTGATACCTTTCTGAAAGCTTAAAGGAATAGTTCTCTCAAAAATGAAAGTTTGCTGAAAATTGACACCCTCAGGCCAATATGTACATGAGTTTGTTTCTTCATTGGAACAGATTTGGAAAAATGTAGCATTACATCACTTGCTCGCCAATGGATCCTCTGCAGTGAATGGGTGCCGCCACCTTCTCAAATCGGAAAAGGAGCTGTTTCACTGAACGACCTCTGGGTTAAGACGAGTCGGTGTCAATAAAAAAAAACCTCCAGTGCCATTAACTGTAAGTGAGATATGCATGGCCTTTGCTTCACTAATATGATGATATATTAAAACAGCTATATATTTGTAAAAGATAAAGGTTCCTAGAAAAATCCAACAAAAAAAATCTGCAATACCTTCCTACATCATACATCATTGAGTGAGAAAAGATACTATGTAATAGAAAGATCTAAACCCATTCTCGCGTGTGAATTATTTATCAAATTCAAATAACAGATGGTATAATTTTCTTAAAATATCTTAATCATTATTCAAAAGACACAGTGGTATAAAACAGTTCCTGTACACATGCGTTTGTGTGATCAGAATACGGGTTGATTCTTTGTACATCCCACACAGATCTGAAACAACATCAACACAGGCATAAACAAAGACATTCATGTCTTCTGACTCCTGGCCAATCCTTAATTCCTGAAATTAAAATGTTATCTGCTCACCAGGTTTGAAATATAGGACAGCACGTAGAAAGTATAATTACCATTTGATTATTAAAAGACTCTCCTGAAGGTCTTGTGTCATCACGGTGATGGAAAAATGATGTCAAACTACCCAAGCAAATTCAATTACCCAACCAATTACTCGCCTGTGTTCGTACTGACTTATTGGGACATTAAATATTAATGGGAGCATAGATATCAAATTTGCTCATCATTAGAAGGTGCACACATTGTGGGCTAATCACAGATGTTCCAAATCACTCAGATCCTTTCAGCAAAGAATAAAACACTCCAACACAAAGAAGCACCTACATCTGTTGCTCGACTATTCATAAGGGTCCTAAAAGAATAGGATTTTATGAAGTAAATCTATTTCTGTAAATACATGAGTAAACTTGTGTCACTCTGTTACTTCAATAGCAATATACAATAAATTAAAGGTGACGTGTATCATTTTTGTGACACTGGCATGACTAAATGCAAATGCAAAAGTAATGAAGGTTTTCAAATAGGTTTCCCAGTCATCTATTGGTCAGACAAACAGAAAGTCCCACCCCAAACAAGAACCACAGAGCCACAGTGTTTAGACTTCAGGGAAATCAATCTATAAATACCTTATTTATAGCTGTATCTGAATTTTAAGCCTTTAAAAAAAACATCTACGATTGAAAGAAAAAAAAAGAAAAACTATCATAATATTCACATTAATGTTTTTTTTTTTATTGTTTTAAAACTAGTGGTTATATTACATTTTCTGGTAGGGGTGGAGATGTTATTCTTGACATTATTAATAAAAAATTTTTTTATTAACAATAAAAAATATATGTATTTGTGTACGTATTTTTATACAATAAAATAGAATTAGGGAGAATCAATAAATTATGAATAAGCCTATCATGCAGTGCATGCTGCAAAAATCCTTTTCTTAATCAGTATTTTTTATTGTATTTTTTTTAGATGTGCCTTTTTATAAGTTTATATGAATAACTATAATAATTATATTAATAATAGTAATAATATAATTATTATTATAATTGTTATTATTTTTAAATATTGGTTGTCTATTTATCTCTCTCTCTCTATGAAACGTGCAGGGTAGTAACTGATTACATGTAATCTGGATTATGTAATCAGATTCCAAAAATGAAGTACTTGTAATTAGATTGTATTACATTTTAAAATACTTGTAATAAGACTACAGTACATTTTTTATTGATTAAATGAGTACATATTAATCACACAACATCAATAAATTATTCATAAATTTTTTTTTTTAAATATACAATATTTTAATTCATTACTTTTCATTTTCATTATATGTATAAAAATGCACTTATAAAATTTATATATTTTTTTATTTTATTTTACTTAATTAATTGCTTTTTTAATTATGATATATACAAATAGACCCTATCCCCTACTTATGCATTTAGGCCCTATAATATTTGCATCTCTTAATTACATATTAATTATTATTAATACATTAAAACTATGTTTTTTCAGACTAAGAAGGTTATTCAGCTTCAGATCAAGTTTTGGGAATCCTTAACAAAGCAATCCCACATGTTCATCTAATTTGAGAGAATAAAAGATTGGCAGAAGCCTCAAAGACACACCTGAGAGGAAAGGAGAGTTATCAGGGCATTAACTCACTGTAAACCCAGCAGACACGCTGGCGAGCTTACAGATTGAGATGACAGCCAAAACAGTGGGAGTTAAGATGCAGTGTTGGTGAAGTGTTTGGTGTTAACACAGAGATAGAGAGCGAGCGGTACCTGCTGTTAAACCTTTCTGGATGTTTCTCTCGCATAATGTGGAATCGATGAGCGATGGATGCATCCTGCAAAAGGAGAAAAAAAGCAAATCAGATCAGTTTTTTATGCACAGCGATACACCATCATCGCTGTTTCGTGAGCTTCTGACAATGGTTCGTTAGGAGCCTTTGACGTATTACACTCGCGCATTAGATTCTCTCATCATCCTCTGTGCATCTGGGTCTTAAAATCTTGAATTTGTCAAAACAGCTGTGTGAAGATGAAAAGACAACAGATTGAGGATTGTATTGAATAGTTTCATGATGGTTTTATCATGGACCATTAGCTATAAACAAAAGCCCCGCGTCAGAGACGTCACAGACAGAGACGTGTTTATTTTAAAACCAGATGAATGTATTTTAAAACCAGACAAAACTCTGACGACAAAACCAAAATTCCTTCCCCCACACCGAGCACCAATTATGGGCCCGATCGCCCTTCCACACGACTGGAAACAAGTTTGAGCTCCATGCATATGTATGTGTGTTAACAGATAAGGTGTTTGTGATTCTTTGCTGGAGGTTCTAGCCAACGATGATGAGTATTGACAAGAGGACTGAACACGTGGTGCAGGCTAATTAATCACACACACATACAGGATGCTGCGGCTCTGCTGGCGCCCGTCACAGCTACTCAGAGGTTCAGATGCACTTGCGTGTGCTCTGTTTGCATGTACTTTGTGTACTGTAAATGTTTTGTTGCTATGGTGATGTACAGAGATGGTGGTTGAAATGTAAAGAGATTGTACGTCCTGATTGAGAAATGTAGATTCTGAATGCCTGATCATTTGTAAGAACGAAGAGGAGAAGCACGACAAACATGACACTTTTATACACATTATAGAAGATACACATTTTTATCATTTGTTTCAAGCTATATTTTTGTTGACATATTATGATGTTGTTGCAAATTCACAGAAAACAGTAACATGGCACAAAACTATTGGACCTACGATGACCTACGATGAATACAGGCAAAAGTGGCACCTTTTCTGATAATTAGTCTGTTACACAAAACCATGGAAAATGGAATGAATATTAAAAACAGATACTTAAGCATCCCACTTTAACAGTATTCTACCTATACAGGTTTTATACTTTGTATTTTTGCTAACAAAAGGCTTAAAATGTCTCACCACATATTATCAATTATTATTATTATTATTATTAAAAGTTTGGCTTCCTAACCAAATTTGTGATAATACTTTTTTCTACTAAGGTAAAGTTAGAAGATGTGTTACAGTCACTTAGATTTTCTTTAGTAGATAGTTTACATTTCTTTGATTTGTTTATATCAGTCAGGGCCCAGGACTATAATTTTTATAGTGTTTGATTTCAAACATAATTCAAATGCCTAGTGACCTTTTCAGGAATAAAACATGATTTTCAATACATGCCAATTCTGTTGAATCATCAAAGCAAATTCTAGCAATGTTCATTTGGGAGTATAGAACCAGAGGTATTATTGAGAACTAAAACTAAACATAAAATAAAAAATAAAAACGTTTAAAAAGTACAAATAAATAAATACATAAATAAAGTTGTCATTTCTCATTTTCATTTAGTTGAAGTTGAAGTAATAAAACTAATAAAAATGATAAAATACAACAAAATTACTAAAAAGTAAAAAAAAAATAAAAAGGAAAAGGAAAATATAAAAATAAAATCTAATTCAAAATATTAACAAAAACTATAATAGTATACTAAAATAACATCATGATATGGAAGCCCGTTTCTGCCACTGAATAAAAAATAAAAGAGGTAATTGCGACTTTTCATCTTACAATTCTGACTTTTTTTCTCAGAATTGCGTGATATAAACTCGCAATTGCGAGTTAAAAAGTCATAATTGCGAGACATAAGGTCGCAATTCTGAGAAATAAAGTCAGAACTGCGAGATGTAAACTCACAATTCTGACTTTTTTTCTCGCAATTCTGACTTTTTTTCTCAGAATTGTGAGATATAAACTCGCAATTCTGAGAACATATCAGTCTTTTTTCCCCCCTCAAAATTGGACTTTAACTCGCAATTGCGAGTTTATATCACACAATTCTGAGAAAAAAAGTCAGAATTTTGACTTTATATCTCGCAATTCTGACTTTATAACTCGCAATTGTGAGTTTATATCTCACAATTCTGTGAAAAAAAGTCAGAATTGTGAGATAAAAAGTCGCAATTACCTTTTTAAAATTTTTTTATTCAGTGGCGGAAACGGGCTTCCATAGTATGAAGATCAAATCTTCGCAAAATGTTCCACAAACAGGTCATTTCCACCTGACTAGGTATATTCTGGAAAAAAAAAGTTTTTATGAAGTAAATCTATTTCTGTAAATACATGAGTAAACTTGTGTCACTCTGTTACTTCAATAGCAATATACAATAAATTAAAGGTGACGTGTATCATTTTTGTGACACTGGCATGACTAAATGCAAATGCAAAAGTAATGAAGGTTTTCAAATAGGTTTCCCGGTCATCTATTGGGGAGATAGTATGAGATAAAAAAGTATGAGATTAAAAAAAACTTTCTTCTTCCTCCAAGAGGGCATCCCTCTCTTTCCCCCAAGACCCAAACACACTGTTAGGACCATTTGTGAATCCAGCCCCTCCAATTTCCACCTCCACACAGAAGACCCCCTGCTAGCTCACTGCTGAAAAAATTCTAGAGTAAGCCAAAAAAAATCAATTCCTTTACTGTTGACATCTTTTAATCCCACTGTTATTTGCAGAGCATAGGGAGGCCCGGGGTCCCACCAGGCTCGGTTTTCTTCAACGCAGAACAAGAAGAAAGGTAAAATGACAGGAGTATCTAAAACAGGGGTGTCCAAACTTTTCCTAAAGGGGGCCGGATTGGACGATGTGGAAACACTGGGGGGCCGGATGTTTCTACCTATATGTATGTATGTATGCGTGCGTGTATGTGTGATGTTGAGTTGACAGTAGCAGTAGCTTGTGTTTTGTTGAGGACAAAAATCTGCAAATATCTTGTTTTTAAAGCTTTAATAATTATAACATAGAATGGCTTTATGGTATTTAATCTATTAACACATGAAAGCACAAACTGCATCAAAAATGTCTGTAATTTGGCCTATATTTCATAACTCCCTTACATTACATTAAATTGGCCTATATGTCTACATTAATTATATAAGAAGATTCTGTATAAATATGCAACATTTCTGCCACAATACCACAGTTACGGTTACTACAGTAAATCAAAATGTTGGTGATTTGTGGATTGAAAAGTATTCTTACTGCATTGTTGTCTCACAATGTTTTTCCTATCTTCCGCGTTACTGTTGTTGAGAATGTCAGCGCTGTTTCATCTGCCTTTGACATCTGTGGTTTGTATGGAAACCTCTGCTCCAAACTCAAACGCTTCTCACAGCGCTGTTTAGTGGTCTCGTGATCGAGATCAGTCAGCGCGTAAACGCATTTGTTCTGAGCTCGCGCTACGCTGTCTTTAGGCAGAGCTAACGGTCCGTGCAGCGCGGTTCAAACGAGTCGCGCTCTTCCGCTTTTGACGCGTTTAGGAATTCGCGTGCGCTAAAGAAATGAGAGCGCATATGAGTTATCAAATTGATATCACTCGCGTTTTACTGCTACATCTGGTCTAAAATTTAGTGCTGCCATCTTGTGTTGACATTTTGAAACTGCATAGGCCTATTTTGTAAATTATGCTTGGCGGGCCATATATAATATAGACTATTAAGACAGCTGCGGGCCGCTTAACATTCATCCACGGGCCGCATTTGGCCCGCGGGCCGTAGTTTGGACACCCCTGATCTAAAAGATTGTATTGCTCTTTTCTTACAAACTGCACAATAAATAAAAACATGAGAGCAAAGGCACGGTCTCCCCTCGGCCTGGCTCTGGTTTGATAAAACCAAGGAGCTTTCAGAGACGTCATCGTATCCGGTGTCCATGAGAGAGAGGGCCGATTTCCTTTCATTGACTCTAAAGTCAAAGTTGCGGCAGTCAGTCACTCGCTATCTTTCATCTGCCGTTGACCACCCCTCCCCGATAACTACCACTGCAAAACTCTCGTGCCCAAATTAATAAAGGTACATGTGTAATGTTCTTTCATAGTTCACCATTTAGTCCAATTACGGCTTGTCCAGGCAGATGATGTGCCTTCAGCGGGAGAGTAATGACTTTGACATGAGCGCAGGGTCATTAGGAAACAGACTACATTATCTTAGGCGATCCTGTGTGATTAGGGACTGTCTCTAGCTTCTGGCTCTGACCGAAATGATAACACCCCCTGTCTAACGGAGAGGGATATTTCAACTTTGGTATTTAAATGGTACCTAATTACCCAAAATATCACTTGACAGGGTGATCAGTCAATGAGACAAGCGTTAATATGAAGAACAGCTTTGAGTTGAGATTTTTTGTTGATGCGTTTCATTTGTTTTACCAGACTTGTTGGTCTTTGTGTTTAAATTTGACTAATTTTTTGAAAAAGTATTTTGCTCTATTTCTTCTAGGCTATTTATCAGCACTTGACTATGAGAAAAACTCTTTTTTTTCTTTTTAAATTGCCTTTGACAGGGTTTCTGCGGGTCTTAGTCTTAAAAAGCCTTAAAAAGGTCTTAAATTGGAGCATAAAGTCATGTTTTCTTTTGAAAAGGTAATTTTTCAGACCCTACTGGCAGATATTTTTTCTTGCTTTAATCATAAACTCACTTCATTTTGATGAATGTCTTTGTGTTCCTTTCCATTTATTCCTTACATTTTCTTTACTTGGTCTTAAAAATTTACCTTCACAAAAGCTGCAGAAACCCTATTTTTCATATGAACTATCACTCTTATATAAAATGTTGATATTTTCAGTTTATCATGTTAGAAAGTGGGTAAGCCACATAAATAAAGTTACAAATATGGGCAATAATGCACATTCTGAGTTCATGTTAATTTAGACCTAAAAGTTAAAGTTGTTTAGAAGCTGTCATACTGATACTGATGTAAATGTCTTAAATTAGCCGTCTGTTCAAATGTTCTTGCACCATCTTGTCTGGCAACAGCTGCATTTGTTGGCTGTTTAGTTCCTAGAGTTCATATACATAATTATGGAAGACATTGTTTTTCATTTGCATAATCTGCAAAGTAATTATGAGCACGACTTGCTCTGTAATCTCTATTGGTTTTCAGTTGTTTTCAAAAGGAATTTGTGTTTTCATGTAAAATGTGATAGGAAAAATATCACTTGATCCCACTGAGATTTGGCTCATTACAATTTCTTTTTTTTAAAGAGGTGTACAAATCTAAAATAAAACAGAGCCGTCAAACCTGTAAATGTCAATTACCGTATTTCCCCTGACATTTCTGGATAATGGCTGACATGCGGTCGCCGTAATAAGCATCATTAGATTTCAGACGGCCCGAGATGCATCATAAGTACACACACAGGAGGATTCTGTTCAAAGTTGGCTTTATCTAAAAAAAGAAAAAAAAAAAAGAACAGCACTTCAGAGAACAATAGGAAAACAGAACATTCCGTGATTCCACTGAAGTTGTTTTGTAATGGCAGAGAGGAAAAAACAACTTGTTTTACCTTTGCTCCAGAAAATAAAGCAATAATAAATAAAAAGGGCTATTTATGGGAATTCAACTGTAGTATACACACAGAATACAGTAGAGTCTAAATCTGCTAAGGGGTAATAGTGGAACACAGTTTTAAAAATAAATTTTTAACTTTTTACAAAAAAAAAAAAAGATAAAATTTTTTTACATGATTTGAGCCATATACATACACACTATACAGACTACAGTATATATGTATTTGTATGTATGTATGTATGTATAATGGAATAAATGGCAATGTCAAAACTACAGTGGTTCTTTTCTAATACACTCCTCTGAAAGCATCCAGTCTATTACTCTGCCTTTGTTTTGATTGATAAAAAATGGAGGCAATTTTTGACACAAATAAAGGACTATCTGAAACAACAAGAAAAGCCTTTTTTTGCAGTATTTCCTCAAGATGTCTTTATGTTATGAAATTTATTTTAGCTTGCGGTTTTCCTTAAATCTAAAATAAAAACTTCCTGGCTTTAATTTACAACATGGCAACCGTATGGAAGCCCTGATCGGTTCTTTTCTAATACACTCCTCTGAAAGCATCCAATCTATTACTCTGCCTTTGTTTTGATTGATAAAAAATAGAGGCAATTTTTGACACAAATAAAGGACTAAATGAGGATGCAGTCATCTAAAAAAAAATCACCTGCGGAGACTATTCTTCAGATGATAAAAATAATATGCCATTTCTTGAAGAAAGATAATCATCCTATTTGCCCTGAAAATACAGGTACGAATGTAATAGCTTTAGTTCTGTGAAAAATAAGTATTTGACTATTTCAACAAATATAACAAAATCGCTTCTATACAAAAGAACCTCTGAAACAACAAGAAAAGCCTTTTTTTGCAGTATTTCCTCAAGATGTCTTTATGTTATGAAGTTTACTTTAGCTTGCGGTTTTCCTTAAATCTAAAATAAAAACTTCCTGGCTTTAATTTACAACATGGCAACCGTATGGAAGCCCTGATCCACATGACTCAAACTTTTAATTGCTCAAAGAAATGACTCGGTCAACAAGAGGCCAAAGCAAACAAACAAGCACTAAATGAACATCTTACAACTGCAAACACTCATCTGAACTCACCTATAACATCTAGAATCCATCCAACAGTACCATCTCCACCACAGGCCAGGACTCTGAAATCTGGAACGTCTCGAAAGAAATTTAAGCTGAAATGAAGAGCGTTATCAGAATTAATAAGATGCCAAGTGTTCGAAAAGCAATGTAACCACAACTTTCTCTTCCACAACTTTTAAATATTGTATATACATGTATTTAATGAAAGATAATCATGATTTATTAGACAACAATCATTAAAAAGAAATATATATATATATATATATATATGGTTATATAGAAATATATAACAATTATTTATTATATTTAATAATAATATACTCTCTATATAACATAATATGCAACACTAATATATGCACATCATATATAATATGTAGTATCTATCTATCTATCTATCTATCTATTTCACTGTAATAGATCTTTATGAACAAATCTTTTGTTTAAATCACAAATGCAAATCCATCTTTTTGAAAGCCAAGCCTGTTCAGAAGCTAATCAGATCTACCAAGACAATGCTCATTGCAGTGCCTTCCGTTCCTTCACAATAATAACGCTCTAACTGCATGAAGGGACCTTACATGGTAGAATGGTGCACAAAATAAGACTCCTCAATTACTTTACTTATTGGGACATGCAGGCTTGGCAAATCATATTAGACAGCAAAAACAGACGACCAATCACATGAAAAAGCAACTTTGAGGATGTTGGAGTATGAAGAAACAAACACTCAATTTGCTCTAATTGTGTTAGCCGGGACTGTAATTGACAGACAGCCCAGAGCTACGGCTGACAGTCACCTTGACAAAGCAATGCCACATTATCATCACACGAGTACACCAAGCTCATGTGTTATTTCAACCGATGTGACTGTGAATGCATAGAGTCAAAATCTATCTTTTCCACCAACAGAGAAATGTCCATACTTAGGCTACACCTGACTTCAAATGCCAATATCAAATTTCAAAAGCAAATTGGCTGACAAGGTCACTAAATGGTGTCTGGAGAGCATCGCTCAGTGGGGTGCATTTATAAAATCATACTAATCTGGAAAAAAAAATTAATCAGAGGCCAAGAGGAACAGAAATCATCCTTTCTAAAACATTCCTACACAGGGAAATATTCAGTGGAGTAAAAACTGTGCCAACTCTATGCATCGATATTCAAATATAATTTTTTAATCGTGAATCGTTTGTTTTGAACCACTGAATTAATTGAGATTTTGTTGCAAAATATACACTACAGCTCAAAAGTCTGGGGTTGGTAAGATTTAAATTGTATTTTTTATTTTTTGGAAAAAACTTTAATTTTGCTCACCAAGGCTGCATTTATTTGAGCAAAAATACAATAAAAACAGTAATATTGTGAAATATTATTGCAATTTAAAATAACTATTTTCTACTTTAATATATTTTAAAATGTAATTTATTCATGTGATGCAAAGCTGAATTTTCAGCAGCCATTACTTCAGTCTTCAGTGTCACATGATCCTTCAGAAGCCAATCTAATATCTTGATTTGGCGCTCAATAAACATTTCTTATTATTATTATCCACGTTGAAAAGAGTTTCTTTTCTTTAACTGCACCGAAGTAGTTTATCTTTCTTCTTTTTTGCCCAAGACCCATACATGCATTTATAAAAATGCATATAGAATCATATCACTAATTGAATCAAATCAATTAATAAATCAAACTGAATCGTTCTAAATTTTCTAAAGTTGAATCAAAAACCTACAGTAAGAACAGTGAATGGACTCGATTCACTGTCTACCCAAATATTCACACCCTTGGTTAATTTCCATGGCAACATCCCACAATAACATTTCTGCTTTCTTTATTGCTCTTTAAAATTCCATTTTCAAAATATAGTCTCATTGAATATTGTCACAACCCGATGGCTTAACTCAAAAGTGACCACGCAGCTGGCATACTAATAACAAATTCAGTCAGTGATCACAGAGCCTCATGGTTGTGTGCATTTGATTGACACCAGCCATGGTATGCGTGATCACACAAGGCCCTGAGAGCGGCAACACTAACATGAATCTATTATTACCAGCTGACTGTCAGTACTAGAGACTTCCACAACCTAGCTTTGTTCTCTGCAGTGTTTGTGATGGCGGATCTAACCTTTTAATAATGCCTACATTTACAGCTAAGACACAGAGCGAGATTGTCATGCATGAATTAGTGCACATTATTATCAAGCAGTGTCTGCATACACAATATATTGTTAACGTCGGGTTGACGTAACTCTCATGATCATAAAGCGAGAATGTGGCACAACAATACGTTTACTAGAAAGCTAGACGGCAGGGAGCTAAATGCTTCTGTTAGAATGATAAGAGAAAAGCCTCTCTGGAGTGTCTGTCACTCACCCAGGCATGGGGCCGTTCTTGGCCAGGTTGTAGACTTGACGAGGGTTCAGGAGGTACTGGAACTTTCGGAAGATCCTAGATAGGGCAGAAGTTGTAAACAAATCAGTGACTAGGAAAAATGATATTAAATGTCCCTTGCTGTAAAATTTTTTTTTTGCTAATTTTAAAGAAAAAGACTAAAAACACTAAAAATGCTACAGTAAATGTATATGGTGAAAAACAGTAAATGGTTTAACATTACATTATGCTCTGTGTAATTTTACTGTAAAATACTGTCAAATTTATGGCTATGGAATTAAAAACTATGAATTAGCATTTAATTGATCATGAAAAAGGACACTGCAATAGGTTCCTGTGTGACACATTACCATATAATTCACAGTGAAAAACAGTATGAGGATATTCCCACATATGAATATATTTTATAGTTTAGATTTTTTTTTATCACAGATGGACATTAGGTTTTTATTTTATTAATATTATTATTATTATTATTAATAATGTTTACTGCCTAATTCTAGTGTCATGTGTGTTACCCTGATGGTGTTTTGTCTATGTATGTTTGACTCTGTGCAATGTCTATATATATTATTATATGTATAGTATTGGCCACTTACTGTATGATGAACATTGATTCATCATGTGGCTTTTTATTTTATCACTTGTATTATTATGGTGGTTATCAGTACAGGTATGTAGCAGATTTTGGTAGTTCAAGTAGATTGGTATATTAACTTAAATACACAGTTTTAAGTTACAACATATACAGGAACCATTATTGGAAATATTTTCACCATATTTTTTTACAATGAATTTCTGGCAACCACAGATGCCATTCATTTTAACAGGATATTTTTTACAGTGAATTTTTCAATAATAAATGGATGTGGTTGGATGAATTTGCAACAGAAACTAAGGATTTTGTCATTATTAGCTATTACAAGAAATTAGCTATACAAGAAATACTGGTCATCATGGCCATCTCATCCAATATTGTCCATCAAGAGGAACTAAAATCTGATATGGATCTTTAGAATGCCAAAAATGGATTTTAAATTGCAACTGATTTGATTAGATACTCATTTAGGTTACCAGAAATGGAACTGAAACTGGAATTGTAACTCGAAGTTTAATCAACAACCTCAAACACATTCAGCGCATTGCTAATTTGACTAAGGCTGCAACTGGTATGTACTGGTGTCAAACAAACTGTAGTGATGGATAAATTATGCAGATTGACTCAAAGACAGTTGAAATGCTACATGAAAATACTAAAGTGTAACTTTCTTATTAAAATCTGACACCATCTTTCACAGTTCTCACCTTTCACCTTGTTTGCCTCCACTTTTAGGGTTGACGAAAACCAACAACGGATGAGTTCCTTCTAATGGCGTAATCTACAGATTAAAACGATTAAAAAAAAACATTACATATCCTAATTCTGAAACATCTGAAGTGAATTTAACTTTTAAATTGGCTGTTGTGCTTCATGATCCAATTGATTTTACTGACCAACTGAGAGAGTACCAAAATTGCTTAGAGCACAAAAAGTCCTTAAATTCACACATTTAAATTTATTACTGATACATGTCAAAAATTAATCATTCTTCTACAAAGCTTTTGCTTAGTAATTCTATAGCTTAACATATCTCTCCTTCACCACCTGAACCTTAATTTTTTAGTTTCTATAGCTTAACATCATATTGATGTTACTAGTATCTGATCATCTCAAACAGATCTCAGAATAACTCTTCAGTACAAAAAGTCTATGATGCACTACCCATGAAAACCCACGTCATAAGACGCAACTGGCAAACCTCAGTAATCAGCTCCATATTTAGCCATTAATGACAATCTTTGACCATGAGTCACTTTTCTGCATGGATGTATGATGATTGTGGGGTTTTGGAGCGGACGATGCACGTACAAACTAATCCAGAGAGTGTGAGTCGTCTTCCGGTGGACAGTGACACAGATGAAGCGCTTAAAACAGGACCCATCGAAACAATCCCAGCAGGCCCAGGTGAATTAATGAGCCGCCCGTCCGGTGACGAGTGATCCATTACTTCCTCTAATTATAAATAATAATCCTGATTATTACACTGGTTAGCCGCCGCCAGCCAAGACGGATGACCCAGGACATGATTTGTCTTTTTTCGTTCTGTCATTACTATGCTCAGACAACAGCCAATCACAGCGGGTCACTGCAGCCTAACTGTTGCCTAGAAGTGTGATTTTGAGATAGGATTGGAATTTTGGGCGAAACTTAGTTGAGGTATCACCAGGAATTCATCATTAACATTATGTTAATATGGACTTTGTTATTTATATGCTTATATTTTAGTTTAATTAGGAATGAACAATGCAGATTATATCATATATCTGTGGCATATCAGTTATTGGATGATTCTTTTTAAATTATATGTATTAGTTGATACTGGATACTGTGTTAAATGTAATCTTTAGCAAAAAAAATAATAATATTCATTTTTGAAAAACACCCATTTTTATATTGTATATCAATGTTGTGATGCATAGATTCAATAGCATTAAAGGCAGGGTATGTGATTTTTCAAAAACACTTTAGAAAACTGATTCGGGCCGAATAGCAAAACAAACTTGTAGCCAATCAGCAATAAGGGGCGTGTCTACTCGTGATGTGGAGGAGAGAGCTTTCAGTGTATGGGACGGACATTAGCCGAGCCGAGCGACAGAAAGATAGAGATGGCGGATAAAAAACAAAAGAGGAAAACGTCTGCGGAACGATAAGGCAAGAAGTAGGACCCGTGTAAATATCGGATCAGCTTTCCAGCGCTGGAGAGAACTCAAGGAGCGGAGGCCTGCGATCGGATGCTGAGGTTGCTTTGTTTCTTCTCAATAGGTGAGTAACACCGGGTCTACAACAGCTAAAGTCTGCCTACACCGGACGCGATCAAACGACCGTTGAAAACCATTTGAAATGTATGTCAGCACGTCATAAATAGAACCCGGCAGCAGTTTTCTGTCGGGGATTTGTTGCACCGCGCCGCTCACGTCCGTAGACACAGTGTAACATTGGTTTTGCTTTGTTTCACAAAACTAATCGTTGCCTGGGTTGCGTACGTATATGTGGGGCGGAGCTATCAAAATAGGGGCAAGACCCTTTTGGGGTAGAGGCGTGTTTGTTTTGGTGATTTCAAATATCAACATTGGCTACCAGAAATCACTTACTCTGACTTTAAAATAATGGATTTTAGTTGTGTTTTATTTTTAATTATTTATTTAAAAATTTATTTATTTAGACAAAACAGTTCAGAATTTGAATAATAAATATTATTTATACAGTAGGTTATCAGCCATATCAAATAAATGCAAATCATTAATAATACATAAAAAAACACATTGAATAAAAGAAAAATTTTATATCAGCACATCCCTAATTAAACTGTCATTTTAAATCACTTTTTTTTGTCTACACTAGTTCATTTTAAATGATGTGTGAAGGAATTTTTAAAAAGTACAAATGTTCCATATTGTCCCTCATTAATATGAGATCATAAAAGACGCATGCAAGAAAAAATTAAATATTTTAGATGCAGTACAGTATGACACGCCACAGAACATGATGTACAGTATTTCACATCAACAACCTGAAAAAAATAAGGTATTTTGCCTGATAGAATTAGGGACTATTAGATTCACTAAACACTGTGTTATTTCATTAGATTCCGTCTGCAGGAAATGTACCCCTGGGACTTCCTGTTTTTATCCAACTATAAGTGTGTGTCGTTCACCTGTAGCCCCTGTCCATCCACTGATACTGAATTAGTCCTTTGTATTTTTCCCCGGCCTCCTGATTGGCTGGAGTCTTTTCTCAGAGTAGACTGTCTCTCCTGCAGTTAAAGGTCACATGTAAAGGTCTAAAAGAGCTGAGCTTTATATAACAACTGAGTCCCAAAATAACATACAAAAAGCAATACGAGATATTACCAGTACAACAGGGCATATTGTGTTTGGAGGAAGTATGTGATCTCTCAGTGATCCGCAGTCACATTCGGGCTTGACATGTGAAGCGCATTTGTTGTGCAGCTGCAAGACAGAGCAGAACCTAACTTTAAAACAAATCGGATGATTCATCAATATTATTTACATACAGACTGATGTTACAGTAAATTAAGTTTATAACAAATGTAAATAAACACCTACAAAATTACTGCACTGCAATTGTGGCAAACTAATAACTTTAATAATTAATAATTGGATTACATGCATATATATATACACATATATATACCCTTCAGTATTCACACATGGTTATATGTTTAGAGCATATGTATGCAACTGTAGTAATTATGAATACTGATAAACTCACAGTAATCTGGCACCAGACACAGTGAAGGCCCGTAAGACCCTGGTAACACTTGACAGTTTTGTGACACTTATCGCACTTGCTTGGACAGTTTCCCTCAACCCAGAAATGATGCATAATCTATTTAAAAAAGGCTTTTGTTAATATGTAAAAATGCAAATAAATGCATAGAGGGAGAGGGAGAGGGAGAGAGACAGAAAGAATGAAAATACAGATATATAACAAATGAGCATATGCTTTGATAACGACTCATCATTGGTGTATGCAGGTCTCTGTTTAAACCAGGTTAATCATGTAATTAGCCATGCTCAGAGAGAGAATATCTTTCTAATTTCATTAGCTGAAAAGAAGCCCTTGGTCTAAACCCCGTGAAGTATTGGTGATCCAAGCGTGCCGGTTTTTAAACATTACAATTCGACGCACCTCTGTGTTTTTCTTAGATTTGACGTATGTTTTGATGAAGGACAGGGGCGCTCGAGCCACACATCTCTCGTGAACAGTGTGCTTACAGACTATAAAACAGACACACAGTAAATTAATTCACAGTGTAAAGAATCAATGTTTTGATCATTTGTTTTTGGTATAAATTTTTATCATTTTTAATACTTTAACATGTATTTTAATTTAATTTATTATTATTATTGTCTACAATTGGTTATTTAATGTCAATAAATTTGATTGCTGATTAATTAATGTATTAATTTTTTATTTTAAAAACACATTACTTCACCAAAGTAACAAAACAAAAAAAATGTCAAAAATAATAAATAAATAAATAAAATAAAATACAAACATTTGAAATTCAGTTGTCTTATTATGACCTTGAAACCATCTTCAATTCTTTTGAATGTCAATGTTTAAAGAAGAGATATTTAATATACACTAGCTTACTTGTATTCCAAATGAAATTGATGGTCTTGATTTGCATTTGTCCATATTCACTTATAGCATAAAGCAAAAAATGATAAGTGAACAGAAGTGACTGGTGGTTAATGTAATAAATGTTGTAAGGTCTGGTGCTGGACTTACAGGAGCAGCAAAGGCCTTGCTTTCCCAATCCGATCAACATATTCAGACACAGGTTACAGTATGCCGGTTTACTGAAGTGCTTCAGTCTCCACACATGCTGC